TTCCCAACAATCTCTCTGTAACTAATTAACAAAGTCAAACATAATTAACCAGCCAAGAACACACCACCTAGATTCAAATATATCTATATATACATAAAATGAAAAAAAAAAATCGCAACTTATTGTCACTATTTGATGTTACTTCGTCTGAACCAAACATGGAATCAGAGTCTCATACCAATATAATTAATGGACAAAATTGTAATTTTTGAAGTATCTTATATGTCACATGGCTGTGGATATATCACTCTGAGTTGTAGGTGGCGACTAAATTAAAGCCTATGCTAGACTTTTATATATGAATGTAGGTTATAACAATATATAATATTGTAAGAACGAAATTATGTCTTTTTTTTTTAATAAAATTTTCCAATATAAATGAAACTACGCAGGGTCCCTGTACTTAGGGTTTCTCTCTGCTATGGAGATAGTGAGTTCCTGATTTAGGATTAGGGTTCCCTAGGTTTTTTTTGGGATTATTCTTAGCGTTCTCCTCTCTTCCTGTCTCGTCGCTCTTGTGCGTCTTCGTCCTGTGTCTGTTTGAGTATTTCCCTTTGCTTTCGTCTTCTTTCTTTCTACTCTGCGCCTTTTGGATTTTCTATTAGACCTTTAGATTCTCGATAGCGGCTCAGGGGTAGTGTAGAGGACTCTGGGATTGTGCGGTGGGACTCTTATGGAGCAAGATCTGGCAGATAAGCTTAATAAGTTCCGTCTTTCGGAGAAGGAAGAATCGGGGGTGGACCTAGTAGATGAGGATGTGGCTCGAGGTCTCTAGAACTGTAAAACAGCCTTGTCGGCAAAATCTACAGAGAGAAACGAGCCAATTTCAATGGCTTAAGGGCGACTCTTAATATGGTGTGGAGTACAAAACAAGCCTTTGAAATAAGGAGCATTGGGCAGAATAGTTTCCAGTTCATCTTCCAGAATGATGAGGATAGGGCTAAAGTTTTACAGGGGAAAACCTGGACATTTGATGGGCAGTACATATTGTTGAAGAACTGGAGTCCAGAAGGAGTAGATTTCTCAGAGGAAGATGAAAAAGTGCAGCTCTGGGTTCAGATTCATCAACTTCCTCTACATTGGTTGGGATATGAATCAGGAATAATGATTGGCAAGCTGATAGGAAAAGTCCTTGATGTCTACAAGTGCTGGTGGAGGTTAATCTTAAAGAACCTCTGGTGAGGGGTGCGTTTATCAAGCTAGGGAGAGATAGTAGATGGGTGGATTTTAAATACGAAAACCTGCAGACTTTCTGCTTTTATTGTGGGTTGATTAGCCACTCTGAGAGACACAGTCTGGTCAAGAAGAAGGATGTAAGCTGTAATGTGCTAAGAGTAGGGCAGCTTAGGGATTGGCTGAGGGTTTATTTCTCTAGCTGGTCTGATTCTAAGTCTTCTAGGTCTAACCAAGAGGACAGCAACCCTAGTGGGGATGTTACCAAACCTGCAAACCCTACTGATATTATCCCTTACCAGTCTAAGGAAGGTAGTGTCAGTGCTAACAGTAGTGGGATGGGGGAGAAGGGTAGTACAGAGAGTGAGAGAGTAGAGGAAGGGCAGGGTAGTGGAAGTAAAATTGGGTCTGATTGCTTCTCCTGGCATTATGGAAACCCAGGCTCAGGATCTTTCCTTCAGCATTGATAACCATCTGGTGGAAGTCAATGTGCAATCTTCTCCCTCTGGGGAAATAATGCCTAAGAGGAGGAGGAAGGTCTCAGTCAGGAAGGGTAGTAAACTAGAGGTGATCAAAGAGCAAATGGAGGTGGATCTTTCTCTTCTTAACAAGGACTCTGATAATGACTTAACCATGAGTCACAAAAGGGTCCTTCCCCTCCCTAATTGCTCAGAAAAGCTTGAGGAGGGCCTGGGTTCTAGTTCTAAAAGATTCAAACTGTCTTGTGAGTCTGATTTGTATAAGGTGGGGGAGACCAACCATAAATGGTCCCACAGTTCTCATTGAGAGTTGCGGTGTGGAATTGTAGAGGTTTGGGGGGACCCTCTACAATTTCCTGATGCAAAGAGGTTTTTAAAAACCACCTCCCAGATCTTTTTTTCCTCTCTGAGGTCAAGAAATAAGAAAAATTTGTGGCTTGTGTTTGTAAGAAGTTTAAGTTAGGTGATATGTGGTCTTATATTAAACCTATAGGTACTAAAGGGGGTTTGTTACTTATGTGGTCTATGAATGTCAGTATTCTTAGTATTGTTCAGCTTGATTTTTGTTTTGAGGTGAACTTCCTTTGCCAAGGTTGTGAGGAACCTCAGTGGGTTGTTTTTCTTTATGCTAGTAATTTTGCTGATGTTAGAAAATTCCAATGGGAATGTGTCCTGAACCTTAGTAGGAAATGGGGTAATATGTGGTTTGTTTGTTGAGACTTTAATGATATTTTGTCCAATAATGAGAAAAATGGGGGGAGAAATAGGGATGCTCATAGTTTTGTCAACTTTAGGAATTTTGTGTGTAATATGGGTATGGGGGAGACTAAGATTAATGGTCACATTTTCACTTGGTCTAATAACAGGGTGGGGGGGAACTTTGTTGAAGCTCAGTTGGACAGATTCTTTTTTTCCCCTGGGTGGTTACTCCAAAACCCAAACTCCCTAGTCCAGCACATTACCCTTTCAGCCTCTGATCATAAACTCTTGTTATTGACTAGTGACAGTGCTGAAAATCATGGTAAAGGCAGATTCATATTTGATGTGAGATGGATTAAACAGAATGGGTATGCAGAGGTGGTGGAGGAAGCATGGAATAAGCCAGTGGGGGGTCCTCCATTATTCAGCTTGCAGGGTAGAATAAATAATGTGAGGATGGCCATTCTGAAATGGCAGGCTTCACAAGGGTTGAATCCAGGAAAATTATTGATAACTGCAGCAAGGAGTTGGCCATGATGAGTCAGCAAGGAGGGAATAGAGATTGGCAAGCCTGGTACCGGTGTAAGAGGATTCAAGCTCAGGCTTATAAAGATGAAGAGTGGTATTGGAAGCAGAAATCTAGAGTTAGCTGGTTGAGGTGTGGAGATAAGAATACCAAGTTTTTTCAAGCCTCTGTGAAGCAAAGAAGAGCCAGAAACAACTTAGTTAACTTGGAGAAGAGCACATAGGAGAAATATAGCAGCAGAGAAGAGGTTCTGGAAGAAGTGGCTAGCTTTTATGAGAATCTTTTTAGTTCCTCAAATCCAAATGTGTACAGTTGTAATCTGGAGGGCATTGATAGGGTGGTTACTAGTCAGATGAATGAAGACTTAATCAAGGGAGCTGATGATGAGGAAATTAAAGGAGTCTTAATGAGCATGGAGAAGGAGAAGGCCCCAGGGGCTGATGGGATGACAGTGAGTTTCTACCAATCCTCCTGGAGTATTCTGAAACACCATTTTTGTGCTGGTATTAGGAATTTTTTTGAGTCTAGTAGAATGCCTAGGGGTATCAACCATTCTGTTATTGCTCTTATCCCCAAAGTTCAGGACCCTAGGAAAATAGTTGATTTCAGACCTATCAGTCTATGTTCAGTTGTTTATAAAGTCATCACCAAAATTATTGCTAACAGGTTAAAAATGGTCTTACCAGCTTGCATTTTTCCCCAGCAGTCAGCTTTTTTGGCAGGTAGACAAATTTTAGATAATGTAGTTATTGCTAATGAATGTATTCATTTTCTTAATAGTAAAAGGAGGGGTAGGAATAGGTTTATGGATATTAAGCTTGATATGGCCAAAGCCTACGATAGGGTAGAATGGCTTTTTCTTTTCAGGGTCTGAAGAAAGTTTGGTTTTTCTAATATCTTTGTTAAGTGGATTTGGGAGTGTATTAGTTCTTCTTCCTTCTCCTTTTCTTTGGATGGGCAGGTCATGGGGTTTGTTAAACCTTCTAGGGGTATAAGGCAGGGGGATCCTCTATCCCTCTACTTATTCATTCTTTTGTCAGAAGCTTTAGTAACCTCATTAAAACAGCTTGTTTGCATCATTCCTTTAAAGGGGTTAAAATTAGTAGACATTCTCATGTGATCTCCCACCTATTTTTTGCTGATGATGTTCTCCTTCTTTGTAAAGCAGATGTTTATCATGCCAATCTTATCCTTTCTATTCTTTCTGAGTATGGGGATTCTTCTGGTCAAATGGTCAACCTCAGTAAATCATCTATTTTCTTCTCCAAGAATACTAGTGATTTATTGAAGGCTGACATATGTGCTATCTTTAATGGCATCAACTGTGTGAGTTACTCTAAGTACTTGGGACTACCTTTTGGCATTGGTAGATCAAAAAGAGATACATTTCAGTTTGTGCTTGAGAGAGTTAAAAAAAGAGTGAACTCCTGGAAAAACAATTTGTTGAGTGAGGCTGGAAAGGAAATTTTACTTAAAACAGTTTTGGGAGCAATCCCTTCTTATGCCATGTCTTGTTTCAAAATTCCCAGTTCTATATGGGAGGGGGTCACTAAGGAATTGGCAGCTTTCTGGTGGGGTAGAAAGGAGAGTGGGGGTAATAGGTTGCATTGGGCAGAGTGGGCTAGATTAGCTAAACCTAAAGTGGCAGGGGGTATGGGCTTCAGGGATCTCAGGATTTTGAACCAGGCTTATTTAGTTAAACAGTTATGGAGGGTGAGCAGTAATCCTAACCTTCTTATGAGTAGAGTCTTGAGGGGTAAATACTTCCATAATCAGAGTTTGTTCACCATTAAGAAAAAGAGCTCTGATTCCTGGTTGTGGGGTAGTTGGCTCAGTGTAAGGGGTGAGCTGGGGAGAGGGGTTGAGTTCAGAATAGGAGAGGGTAGGTCTATTAGAGTTTGGGATGTTCCTTGGGTTCCAGGGCTGAGAGGGGAGAAACTTAAGTGTAGGGTAGAGTCTGACAGAGATAGAATTAAATGGGTGGGAGATTTAATTTGTCAGGAGGAAAGAAAGTGGGATGTTAATCTGATAAACCAAATTTTTGACCCATTCATTGCAGGACAAATAGTAAAGATTCCACTAGAAAAAGACATCAATATAGATAAGATGGTCTGGTCAGGCCATAAGTCCAGAAATTTCACAGTGAAATCTTTCTATGAGATCTTGTTTCAGAACAGTAACCAGAGGAAAATCATTGCAGAAACTAGTAGACAAAGAGTGGTGGATAAGAGGTTGTGGCTTAGAACTTGGAAGCTACCAATTCAGCACAAGGTGAGGAGCTTCTTATGGAGGAGCTGGAATGGGTTTCTAGGCACCAACTGCCAGCTGAGGAAGAGGGAAGTGGAGGTAGATGCAGTATACAGAAACTGTGGTGAGGAAGAATAGGATTTAGAGCACCTATTTTTCTACTGTAAGAGAGCTAAGATGTGCTGGAGGCTGCTAGGAGTCCAATGGAAGAAACTAGAGGAGGAAAGATGTAGCTTTAAAGAGTGGTTGTATGAACTTATGCAGGCTAGAGGTTTCAAAGCCATCAAGGAAAGGGTGAGTTTATCTACCTATCTCCTTTGGTGGCTTTGGAAAACCAAAAACTGCTGGATATTTGAAAAACAGTGGAGATTTGAGAGGGAGGTAGTTGAAAAGGATAAGCATGATTGGTTAGAATTTTTGGTGGTTAATGGCAAGGAAATTCTTCTGAGCTGCAATATTATACTCATGCTTCAGGGGATCAGGTATTTGCAAGGGTAGGGAAGATTGTTGTTTCTGTCAGTGCCCATCATTCTGCTGAGGATGTGATTCTTGTACAGGGGAAAGCTGAGAGTGGTGGAAGGACACTGAAAGTATGGTATGGATCTATGCCTCTTATGTTAAATGCACAGGATGAAGATTGGTGGAAGACTAAATGGGCTCTACAAACCTGTGTGGAGGAATGTTGGGAAGACATTTTATGTGTAGTGGATCTGGCAAGCACTAAGCTAAAGATAGAAGATGTAACGCCCCGTTCGATTTATAGAATTTCTCGGAATATTCTATTTATCGAATATTATTTATAGGGATATATTATATTTTATTAGTCGCGGCATCGACTTGAATAATAG